TCCTCCTCCTCCTCCTCTCTCTCTCTCTCTCTCTCTCTCTCTCTCTCTCTCTCTCTCTCTCTCTCTCTCTCTCTCTCTCACACTGCATCTTATTAAATGACTTATATTTTCACTGCGCAATTCTTCAACGCGAACTACATGCGATATTGCTAAGGCTTTTCCTTTCGGTATTGCACTTGGATTAAATTTAATGTCATGAGTAATGGGTACAAATCCCGTTCGTATGATAAGGCTCATTGCAAAAGTTAGAGAAGTTAACCTACACATATAATGAAAAATCTATAGCAAATGTTTTGTTATATAACGAAAATTTTTTCATCGAAATTATAAAGGGACCTAAAACTATCAAGATACCTCATGACAGTTTATGTAACTTGAATATTAGCAATCATTGACAGCTATTCCAGTAAAATATGAGATATTGTAACTTGAATATTAGCAATCATTGACAGCTATTCCAGTAAAATATGAGATATTTCACCAACCGCGGCAGCACTATAGTCTCTAAGCACACAGCGAATATTAAAAATGCCACAAACATAAATAATTCACTCAATTGTATTTGTTGTGGATTTTAATTTTAAGCATTGAACTAAATATTCAGATTATTAAGACCATTATCTGATGTTTTTTATTTACGAACACTGATGTTGCTTCAACGATTTTATTTCAATTACACTGATTCTTGTTGATACATTATTTTTTTTCGTGTACTTTTTTGAAGAAAATAATAACGGGAGAGAACAAAGACTGATGAAGAAATAAACCACTTTTTTAAACGTACGAAAAAATCTTGCGAAACGCTTTTGTCAAAAAGTTGTAATTATAACGTTATTCATTCATTCATTCGATATGATTTTCTGTAAGCGAATCTAGAATTAACTAACGCGATTGATTGATACGCCCCCCGGCCATAACGCGTGTTATGCAGAAATAATCTCTCTTCTTGTCAAATGGTGCCACCTATTGAGCGATAATTATCCAATAAAATCCAGGAAGTGCGGATTTGTTATCATGAATAACATTGTACGGAAACTTGACTTTCGATCCTTGATTCGCAAGAGCCTATAATATTACGCGATTGCTTTAGGTAAGATAAATTTAACAATGAGAGAGGGAAATGGGCGGGAGCGAGTGAGGGATGGAGATATATGTTTCTTTTAAGATAAATATAGCAAGGGAAAGCAAAAGAAAAGAATACGCGGAACTCACCTTCGGACACATGAGAGGATAATATTTCCTGAGTAAAGCTAATACACTGACACAGAATTTGCGCGGTAACTAAATACCCTCTAGTTCTAAAAGAGATAAAATATATTACAAATGCGCGAGTCGACGTTTTCGAACTGCCGACTGTATAGCTAAATCACAAGAAATGTCTAGATAAAACTCAGTCATGAGAAAGATTAAGCACGTATCTTTGTAACGAATTTCGAAGAGATCGGGCAGCCTGTAGCTTTATTACGACTGGAAACGTAATATGAAAGAGTGAAAACGCCGAACGATGAATCGGTCCAACATTATTATTAAACAATTCGAAATTTTTCATCAATTTGTATGCACGTACACATCTTCAAGGTATCGATTAAAATTGACGGTTCCTATGGGTATCTTAATTCACTTTACACAAAACTTGCTCGATGATTAAATATTTCACAGAACGGAAACTAAGCCTTTTACTCACGCGACTCAATAACGCGATATATCCTAAGATTAATTATATTGTTAAAACTTATTGCGTTTGCAGTAAAAAAGAGCCGGAAAATTCGCCACCATGTCGCTAATATTAGTATCCTTGCTCCAAATGGCGGGAGTGAACCTGACGACTCACCACGGCGAGGATTCGAAAGATTCGGAAAAGGATGTATTAACCGCCAAAGCTGTCGCCATGCTGGTATTGTTCACTGTGAGCATGATCATGGGCTACGTACCGATGCTTATGGCAGAGTGGTGGGACATGAGCAGCCAAAATCCCAGGTAAAGATGTTATCTCAAGCGACGGGGAACGACTGCACCTATGACCGTACAGATCACGATGAGAATTATCGTAATAATTCTCAAGAGAGTTATTGTACTCGACATCATATTATTTAACTGTTCAACTATTTACACTTTACTATTTACGCTGAGTTACATGACAATAATCTCGATAATAACTTCTGATACGCCTACACTTATCTGTAGAAAAATGTTTAACGCCACGAGATAAATGTAAAAGTCGCAATTAATTTATATTTCGTGAATATCCATACGGCAAAGTACGGGAAAGCCGAGTAGAATCGAGAAATCATTCAAGGCGTACGTTCGCTGTAATCCTTAAATGACATATGAGTGAGACGTACATTGCGTCTCGCCGATATTGCTTTAAGACCGATGATGTAATACGACAGAACTGACTAGTTAAATCATTAAGTGCTGCTTTGTCGTGCGTAGATCGATGAACCTGGTGGGTATTCTACTTGGCTTCGGCGGAGGCGTTCTCTTCAACACGACGATTTTGCATTTGATGCCAGAAGTGGCGGAAGGCATACTGAACTTTCTTGATTCTGTTAAGATGGGGCAGCTCAACTTTTCACTGGCAGATATAATGCTCCCGTGCGCCGGGTGAGTCAGTCCTTTGACGTCATTACGTATAGATGTAACATAAAATAAAAATCACCACTGCAAAGGTGGAATATCTCTCCAATAAGATATTTTCGATTCAGTAAGAAGCAAAATATTATTCGTTACTCTCAATTTAAAATCGCGATGACGATAACTGTTTGTACATTTAATTCGATCCAGTTACGACTTATGATGAATTTATTGAGACTTTAATTTATTATATTCCTTAACGGCGGAGGAAAAGAGAAAGATTATGAAAGGGAAAAATAGATTGAAAGGTAGCAAGATATTTATAGAAAACGATCTGTCGTGGGAAGAAAGAAAACCGCAGGAAAAGATATGAATAGGCAAAGGGTAAGAGAAAGAAAGGCGAAGAAGTTAAGATAGGACTGGGAAAAACTTCTCCGTAGTAAGAGTCTGGATAGAAATGTCCTTCGTTTTATTGGTTTCAACGAAATATGGCAGAACCAATAAGGTGTCTCGAATCTGTACTCTGAACCATA